TCTAATGTGGTTAAACCATCTTTAATTAGGTGAGTGCGTCACTTTGACAAATTTTGAAAATTGATTGGTTGGATGAAAATTCAAGAATCAAATGGCTTTAATTACTCATTTATTAATTTTTAATATATTCAAATGGTTGTACTTCTTTTTTAAGTTCAAACAACATTCAAGAAAGGAAAAAAGAAAGTTAAACTAACAATGTAGTGACAAAGATTCGAATTCCTAATTTTTTGGTCAATGATATATGTCATATGTTCGCGTTAATTATTTAAATATTCTTTCTATCCTACTATTCACTTAAATTTGAGACAAAAAGTGTCACATTTGTGTTATGTCATTTTGGGATTTAAAAATGTGCATATTTTAAAACTTAGGAATTGATTTCTATTTTTTTAATTCAAAAAATAAATAAACATTATATTTAAATTAAAATAATTAATTTAAGCTAAAATTTCACGTGAACACGAACAATTACGTGGAATGGGAGGCTATCGGTTCCTTGTCAGTCTGATGTGGCCTTAGGGTATCCTCAAAGCAGCCGCATGACAAGTTGACAAGGACGCTGATTTTGAAGAATTTTGGTTCAAAATTAAACTTTCCAAAGTTTATCCTCCAATATTAAGGCAGCTGACCTTAATTGTTCGATGTTTTATTAGAAATTCCAGCATGTCGTCATGTCACGACAAAAGTATTAACAATTTCATTAATTATCTTTCAGATTTTTTTTTGTTGACAATATTATCTTTTAGATTAATATAATATGTTTGGTGGACTTAATCAATCTCATGAGTATGTGATGAATATTAGACATTGATTACTTGAGCCTATCTTAATTTGACAACAGTTCTGGATAATATGACTGTAGCAATATTCGAATCTATCTTAACCATTCAATTTGTATCGTCAGCTTGTTCATGATTTTTTAAAAAAGTTTTGTCAATAAAAAATGTTTATATTTTATCTGTTGTGTTTAAAATTTCAAAATATATTTAAAATATTAACCAGATTTTTAAAATAGAAAATAAAAGATAAACATTTTAACAAATTATCTACGGTCTTCTTTAAAATCATTTTTGGAAAAATTAAAATAAAAAATATTTGAGATAATTTAACTTATCACTAACCTCTCTAAAGATCAAAGATTCAATTATTGGGTAATTGCAATTGATAGCAAAAATATATTATATATTTCAAAAAATGTCATCAGCTTTTCAAAATTTCAAATATAGTAAAATATTTGAATTTTTATTTTCGGATTTTTTATTATTCCAATTTTACCCTTATGATATATAATATATAAATATATATCTGATGTATATCTATATCTGATGTACATCCAATTTATATCTGATATACATATGATGTATATCATACATCAAATTTATATATGATATACATCTTATATAAATTTGTATATGATATACATAAAATCTATATCTAATGTACATCCGATGTAACTCTGATATACTTCCAATATACATTCGATGTAACTCTAATATACAGTATCAGATATNATATACATAAAATCTATATCTAATGTACATCCGATGTAACTCTGATATACTTCCAATATACATTCGATGTAACTCTAATATACAGTATCAGATATACCATGATATACATTATCAAATATACTACTGATAGATCAAATGTACATATTATACATGTAATATATATATATGATGTACTTCTAATTTATGATATACTAAATATATTTCCAATTGATATATACATAAAATCTATATCTAATGTACATCCGATGTAACTCTGATATACTTCCAATAGACATTCGATGTAACCCTAATATATAGTATCAGATATACCATGATATACATTATCAAATATACTACTGATACATCAAATGTACATATTATACATGTAATATATATATCTGATGTACTTCTAATTTATGATATACTAAATATATTTCCAATTGATATACTAAATATAAGCTATATCAAATGTTTAATTTTTAGTGGTATATCAGCTGTTTAAATTATAGTCTATCATTTCAATTTGTTGATTAATATACTAATATTATCATTAATGTTGATTACTATATCACTACTATTTATTCAATATTAATATTAGTTAGATACTAAATATAAGGAGTATCAACTGTTTAAATTTATAAAGTACATCAAAATGTTAACTTGTCTTTTTTGGACGTGCATGGTCCACATAAACCTTTTATATAATAACTTTATATTTCAAAAATACAAAATAGAAAATTGTGCACCATTGTTTTCATCTGAAAAAGATATTAGATATAATAGTCTGATATCAACACACATGTGATATCAAAAAAAAAAAAAAAGATATCAACACACATATGTAATAGTTATATTAGTAGATATAATGGTTATATCAGAGGTATATAAGTGGTAAATTAAAAGCATATTAAGTATATATCAGTGTTATATTAGTGATAAATCATATAATCATATTATAAGTTATATCAGTAGATACCATAGTAATAACACGATGAATAAACCACCATTCAACCCAAAAGACATATTGTTGGGTTTTGTCAAAATATTGGAATTAAAGTTATCCCACATTGGAAGAATACAAGGATGATCTCCATGTGCTAGAAGTTGTCCCACATCGGAAAAGTACACGAGGACATGTGTTCTAACTACTATAAAAAGAGGTCATGTGCTTGAGTTTTAATCATCCCAATTGAAATACTTTAACCTTGATATACTAGCTTTAATTAACTGAGCGGTATTTACTTTATATAGAAGTAGGAGATTTTTTCCCAGACGCAACAATTATAAGTTCAAGGACATATTTGATATTTTTTTAAAAATTCAAATATACATTAGAGACAACCCTCAAAATTTACAACCTGAACTTATATACTATATATAAATTTAAGAATTTATCTCAGCCAGTTAGAAGCTATAGAATTCTTATGATCCTGAAATATGTGAAGAAGGTAGCAGGCAGGGGACCCAGTGCATCCCAGCGGGCAGCACGCCCAGCAAAATGGCAATGAATCCCATGCCTTCCCCAATCCCCCAATTTACTTGAATATGACCTTTCCTGACCCCAATCGTGGGCTACCCCACGCCTCCCCCATGATCCCCTTCTGCTTGGGACTGCAACATATTTGCCCTTCAACGAATATCCTTTTGCCCGTTTCAACATAATTTGTAATTTTACCTTTTTTTTCTCCAGAATTTAACTACTTTTTGATTTCTAACTTTCAAAATTATTTAGACTAAAATAAATAAAAATTAAAAGTATAACAACAAAGATTTGAGTGTACGTAAACCAAAAACAAACAAAATAAAAAAGTATAGAGCCGATAATAGTACATGGAATATCAGTTTAGTAATACACTACAAATAAGAAGGGATAATTTCGAAATAATATGGATAATTAGCTTGACCTGTATATTCTTTTTTTTTCTTTATAACTTTGACTAGTGGTGGGAGGTTGAACCTTCAAAAAAGAAGATTATTGACCAATTGATTTAGTTATGTTCATCTTGACTAATTATGTTTAAATTGTCATTTTATTTGATATTTTATTTTAAATCAACGTATGATATTTAATTTTGATATATATGCGATGTAATTATGGATATAAATGAATATCATAACAATAACAAATTATCATTTGATTTAATTGAAAGTTTTAAAAATTATATTAAAGTTATAAATTGGGTCATGTAATCTATGTTTGGATTTTGTAGTATATAAGTAGTTCTAGAAGATATGCTCGCGTTTGTGATTTTATAAATTAACTTGAGAAATGGATATGGAAAACCTATATTTATACAATTCATAATCATAGCAAAATTTTAGCATTAAGAAACAAATTTATATCAATTGTGTTCTCAATTTTCTATTTCCAAACCACATATAAATCTAATTTGTGAGGTAAATGATCCTTTCTATAGATATTTTTTTTATTATGCTTCAGAGTTTTGGTTCTATAATTATTAGTAAAATAGTTTTTATAATTAATTTAAAAAGTTCAATGACTCAATTAGTGACGATAATAATGTTAATTACTATTGTTATTGAAATTTGTAAGGGATTCGAAATCAAGTGAAGTGTTTTAGGAGGTTGGTTTTATCACTTATGTATATTTTAACATTAGAAAGCTAAATAATAGATATCATGAACAAATTTAATTTAACTATATTCGTGGGAGATTATAGGATAAAACCTTTATGCTGCACTAATAAAAGATGGAATAGCTTTCATTCATGCTAAGAAAATAGAGGAGAAAATTTATTTAGAAGATAACTTTGTCTATATCCAGAAGGAGAAATTCATACTCATTTTATCATTTAACCAATAAATCAATTAATTTTTTACTTTTAATAATAAATATATTTATTTAATAAACATTAGAAAACAGGAAATTAAAAAAAAAAAGAAAAGGAGAAAATGAATTATTATTATTATTATTTTTTTGGAGCGAATATTACAATAAAAGTTTTCGGTATATAATCTTGGACTCGTACAAGTAACGACGACACGTAGCCAGCCACACGGCAATTGGGCCTATTTGACGTTTTAAGCATAACTGTCTTCCGTCAACTTTAACAGAATAGCCGTTAATTGTAACGACTGTAATGTTCGACAATATTCTCGGGAGACGGAGAAAGTGAAGGAATCTTTAACCGAAGCTTACTGAAGACAATTTATTTTTTATTTCTTGAGTACAGAAAAAGGAATATTTTATTTTTATTTTTTGAAACATACTCTGAAGGCAATTAAACTTTATAAGGAAAAGAAAAAAATAAAAACTTTAACTGAAGAAATTTGCCCCATAGGTTTTCAGTTAATTACACTTTTACCATCGCCAGTCGGAGCAATAAGTTCCTATAAATAGCGGGCAAGGCGTACTAATGCCAGGCTTGGAGAAGCAACTCCAAATCTTCTTCTTAGGTCTCTTTATTTCTACATTCCTAGTCTCTCCTTTTCAATCCAAATTGGACCGATATTTTTGGCTCCTAGTCCAAGAAGGGAAGAGGAAAAATGGTCGGAGCCTCCCACCGCGCCGGCGGTATTGCCGCCAGATCTGACAGAACTGCTACCATCAAGTTTCTCTGCAGTTATGGAGGCAAGATCCTTCCTCGTTATCCTGATGGCAAACTCCGTTATTTTGGTGGCGAAACTCGTGTGCTCGCCGTCGATCGTTCCATACCTTTCTCTGGTTAGTATCAGTCTCTTTTCCGACTCTATGTTTCCTTATTCGTGGATTGATTTCGTGAATATTTCCATAGAATGTTGTAATCCGTTGATTGAGTAATTGAGCCTTGATATATATTTTTTCTTGAGTTCTATTTAAGCCTTGATATGAACTTCGAGAGTGAGCTTAATGATTGTGTCTGGTTACAGAGCTGTTGTTGAAGCTGGGACAGTTGTGTGGCACATGTGTGAGTCTTCGTTGTCAATTGCCTTCAGAGGATATGGATGCTCTTGTATCGATAACCTCCGATGAGGATCTAGCGAATCTCATCGAGGAATACGATCGAGCAGCATCGCCGCCATCTTCTTTGAAGATCAGAGCCTTCCTTTCACCGCCTAAATCCATGAAAAAATTTCCTCTCCCTAGTTCGTCGGCCTCTTCATCATCGTCGTCCTCAAAATCTTCATCTCCGACGACTGCTGTATCCTCTCCAAGGATCCCGACGCAGGTTCCTAACCATTGCGTCCATCAGATCCCCTCGTCAGTGAGGTTTCCCTACCGCCTGAAGAAGTCTCCGTCGAAGGTTCTTCACTGCTCATACCATCCTCAAGGGAACCCTAGCCACACCTACCTCATCCACAGTGGAAATCACTGGCAATAACACCAACTAGAATGAGCGAAATCAAAGCAACATATATATAAGATATAACGAAATAGAAAAAGGAAATTCCAAGCACCAAAATGGATGTATGATTTATGGAGACTGTATATGTCGCTAAGGATTGCTTTTTGATCCATTAGCCATTAATGAAATTCGGTCCTATTTCCTTTCGCAGCCGTAGCTCTTGTGATGGTGAGTTTCTTCGTCAATGAATCCGAATCCATTCTCAACTTTGCATCACATCTTCGATCTTCCATTGTCTTTAGGTCCGTTAATCACGTATGTCCTCTCTGCCAGTAAGAGTTAGAACAAATGGCCACCGTTTTCTTTAGGTTCAGTAATTGCATTCAACGCACGCAGGGTGTCCATACTATAGGTCTGGTTGTTGCTTATGCATAATACGTATTTCTTAGTCTGGCACAACTGGCTTCATTTTCTGTTTTTCTTCCTTTCGTTATCTTTCAAAACTCAATTTTAACAAGTTTTTTCTGTTCGTTTTTCAAACTTGTGAATGTTATATTGTGGATTAAAATTTCCGTTTTTCAAATTTGTGAATGTTATATTGTGGATTAAAATTTCCGTTTTTCAAATTTGTGAATGTTATATTGTGGATTACAATTTCCATAGCCTGTGATATAACGAATGCATTATATAGTTGCTTATTGACCGTTTCGTACAAATCTTATTTGCAGGGTTAAAAGATGACCACATTGGATGGAACTAAAAGTTGAAGACGACAAGGAACTGTAGCTGCGCATCAGCAATTGGCAGTAAGATCTCCGTCCTGGCTAACTTCAATTATTTATATATATGCACATACTCATTAGTGTTGGTTCCATTTTGGCCTGATAATATGGTTGGAATTTTTCAATTGCCTGATTCTATCAATCCTCTTACTCAGTTACTCCAGGCCTTCTCTCTCTCTCTCTCTATATATATCTCTTTTCATTTTTGGATGAAAAGTTCACTAGTCGCATTCACAGTTACGAAAGAGGACCACTTTCTACGAATGTGAAGTTCTGTGAAGTTCCGTGAAAATGATGAATTTGTATTAAAAAAATTTGAAGTTCTGTGAAAATGATGAATTTGTATTTATATTTGTATTCTACCTTTAACGCTATACATATTAGGTACATTTGAAGAAAATCTGCCGTTGGTTGGAATCAGAGGTTTCTGTGGCGCGTTTGCTCTGTTTTCTGTGCAAGAGTTTCTTTCACAATGACAGGTATACCTTTCTTCTTTCCCATTCATTTTTAATGAAGTAAGACAAGAACATTCTCTGGAGAGTTGGAGGGAATCTCATTAAATTTTTAAATTGCCTCAAAATAGCGAGTTGTGGAGTAAGACAGCAGTAATATGGTAGTATTAGGAGCAAGTTGCAGCTTTCCATGGCGTGGCCTTGACGGTGTTTGGTTTTTTTCTGTGTTTGGAGATTGGATCAATCCCTTAGCTGAAATTAGATAGAAAAGGTCCAAAAGCGGACAGCAAGGACAATGGGTGAGAATTCATTGGGGACCATTTTGATGAGGATCAGTTTAACAGAAACGATAAAGGACGGTCCCCACCCATACCATTAGAGATAAGACTTGTGGGTTACAGTACTTAATTCTCATCAAGAGGGAGGGGGACCCATAGAAATCAGAGGAAGGGCGAAAGAACTGGAATTATTTTTACTTTATCAAAACTTTAGAAACAAGAGATTAAATAACAGATCGTCTCAGGACTACTGAAGGAAAAAAAAAAAAAGGGAAAAGAAAACAAGTCAAAAAATGATGACCAACCTTTCTGACCCAGTTTTAGGAAAGCGATTCTCACCCTATATATGTGATATGGGGAGGCCCAACAACACACGGTGGAAGTTGATTCCATTCTTCAACAAGTCATTTGCATATATACTTTCAACATGTACTAGTATTTTAGTTTCTGAATTTTTCTTTTTGTAGTACACGTGGGGTAGGGGATCGCTGAATGTTCGTTTTGGCAAAACGAAAAAATAATTATAAAGGATTTCAAATGTGTTTCCATATCACAGTTATCATTATTAGAATAAAGGAGAACATAGGATATTAAATAGTAAAGAACTTAGAGGGAATGAATTCAAAACCATGGTGGCCACCTACCTAAGATTTAATATCCTACGAGTTACCTTGTCAACCAAATGTAGTAGGGTCAGGCGGTTGACCCGTGATTAGTCGCGCAAGCTGGTCCGGATACACGGATTCCAAAAAAAAAAATAAAGGAGAACATTAATCAATGATTTTTTTCTTCATGAAAACGTGGTTTCTTCCAATTTTTTAAAACTAACTTTGAAGAGATATACTCTTCATAAAATATTGTTTGTATAGTATTTTTTCTTAAGAATTTTAAAATATATATTATCAATTTAACTATATGCTATTATCTCAATTTTGAAGTTAGTTTATACTTTATGTGCATAAAAATGTTTTTTTTTTTTGAAGTTATATCGATACGATATGTATCTATTTACATTTGTAAATTTGTTAATTTTGTTTTTTAAAAGAATCATGTATGTTATTCTTATTCGTAGGATAGTGTCATTAAATTTAATAGATCTATATTAGTACTTCTAAGTTGTTATTTTGGGTATAAATTATTATTTGAGACGTTCAATCAGTAATGGAAAAATATTGAAAGTTTCAGGGTAGGCCACAGCATATTGGTTGTATCTAATCTGGTTGTATTTTTCTTAGTTAAATAACAATAATCAGTTGGCATTTAAAAATTCAAGATTTGGACAAGAAAAAAAAAATGATAGAGATGAGTGTTTTGTATTAAGTGCATATTCTTTTACAAAAAAAAAAAGCATATTTAATTATAAGGATAAGTGATTAATGCTAAAACATATTTAACTGTTGGAGATTATATTCAAAAGGGATTAAAGGGAAATCGAGCTAAAATTTTTTAAATTAAACTTGTGCATGTTCTTAATTATTTAATGTTGATGGAAATGATCTTCATTATTTATATTGTTTTCCTGCGTCGTCTACATCAGAAACTGTATAGGTAATTCTACAACTTCCTTTCTTTTAGCATAGAAAAGACACTATTACACTTTAGGCGTTAGGCTATGATCTATTGTTCAACTCAACAGAAACTGAAAGCCTTAAATATAAAAGGTCGATGTACCTCCAACGTTCCAAAGAAAATCACCGGAAGTCTAAATCGTTGTTTTGCCTTGGGCTTGGAAACAAGTATACTTTTGAAGAGCAAAAAGTCACATTTTCTTAGGGGGACTGTTTGCTAGAAGCTTATAGATRGTGACTCAGTGGGCGCACTTTAAAGTAGTAGTGAGATGAAATAATAAATCATCTCAAGATAAGATGATAAGTATAGGAAAATCTGTGATGTTTTGTACACAAGAGAGATGGCTTCCGTCACCAGCATAGATAGGGTTGGTGGTGACTTGTGTTAGTGGCATCACATCACCTAATTAAAATATGCTTATCTCTTTCAACTCAGGCACAGTATCATAATCTAGACGAAAAATTTTCATGTTTCATCGTTAATTGACAAAATTTAGATTAGTGGTGACCTCTTATTCCTTTTTTTCTGAACTCATTGAATTTCTGTTAGTTTTTTTATCTACAAGTTTGATCTCACTTTTCTAAGCGGATTATCTTTTTTGAGGTAAATTTGGAAAGCATAGAATACTCTCTTATCTAGTGAGTTTCTTATTAGTTTTGCATATATGGGAGTTTAATTCTTTTCAAGTACTTTAACTTTCAAATAAAGTATCCTTGACGAGTTGAACCATGATCACTCGTCTATTTGAGTCAAAAGTATTATAATTATGGATCTTATCAGATTGGTGGCACACACAGCTAACCGAGTAAGTCAATCTACTTGAACATGGCATTAGAGATTTTGATTGTCTTCATCCTAAGATATAATATGATCACCTTGGGGCTGGATGGCTAAGATTTACTTAGCCACAAAGATAACCTTAGCAAAAGATTTTCGATATTTATCACTCTCATCTCCATGAGTACATGTCTTACTCACTATTTGAGCTAGACTCAGCATTTTAATGTTCTATTCCTTAGATATTCATGAGTTTCATCTATGGAAATAATATTTGAGGTCACACTCTATCAGCATCTTTTATTTGAACTAATTGAATCTCGTTTGGTGATTGCACTAGAGATTATAACTAAAATATCATTTGGGGTGGGTGAATGAGAGATTGAGTTGGCTGGGTGAGATAGTCTTAGCATGATTTCAATGATTTTTATCACCATAAATCGTGATGAATTAATTTAGGAAGTAACATAATGTAATGACAATTTAGATTTGTGTTTATGCATGTGATGATTTGATGGTCATAGGGATGGACAGTATTATGAATATTGACAATAATAGTGATTCTAAAAAATATGCTTTTTCCATACCAGGAAACGAAAATATTTACAATTAATATTTTTCAAATATGCACCTGGTATATTATTTTATTTATATTTTCTCTCCCCAGATACCTTTATTTAATTTGATTTTGTTTTGCATGACTTTATTTAGCTTATATTCTTTCATTACATGTTTTTTTAATATAACAAATGAGGTATGGGGATCTGAACCTCCAACTTCAAAGGAATGAGTAGGTATCCATTATCGTTGTCTACATGTTTTGGTAATTAAACTATAATCTTCTTCCATTTTTAATCTTAAGTATGAATAAATCACCACTCAACACAAAAGCTTAAGCTGATGGRTTGGATAAATTTAATTCATTTATACGGATTCTAACATTTATTTAAAAATTTATTCCTATTCATCTCATAAAATTGAAAGTTGACTTTTTTTTTTTGGATTTTCTCTTTTTGTTTTGCTCGTAGAACCTCTAAAAAAAAGTCTGGTTGCGTTTTTTTTTGTTGTAATATAATAAAATTAGAAGATATTTTTTCCTTTCTCAAAGAATTTATTTTGGTAAAAATCCTCCTTTTAGGGCACCCGTTTTATATGATTAATAGAAAGTATGACTAATATTTTAGGAAAGCCATATACATATAGTACTGTATATGTTTTTTGAAAAACGGTGGTATGTGGAGATAGATAGCTGTTACAATAATTTGCTTTGGGCCCTTTTGCGCTTTGCGCTTTCACTCTTTTCTCATCTCCAAGCCTACCCAATGGACCATGACCCACCAATGATCATTGCATTTTGATAGTTTAATTTCTCTTTTTTTCCTTTTTTCGGAGGCAATTTGCTTGTTTTAATATTTTGAATATTATCCCGTGTAGAAGGTAGTTTTGGTTATTCCGAGAAAGAAGGAAAAACTCTCCGATAAGTGTAAGCCTGAACATTATTCGACAATCTTTTGTTGTTTTGTAAGTCATAGAATCTTGTAATAAATTTTTCATTTGCAAGTTCTGTTTTACTTTTCAATATTTTAGAAGCAACATTATTTGACAACTCATTCAATTTTCAGTTATTAAATTTTGAAAACTGTTTTTAAAATTTGAAGTAACATTTAAAAACTAAATAAAACAAGTTTTTATTTTCCAAAAAAGTTTTTACTCGTTTTCTCATTTTAATATCACTTTCTCTTATCTATTTTTCACTAATTCCCCCCTTTTGGTAACTTCCCTTTTACTTCTCTCTATCGACCTTTCCCTTTCTAACATCTTGATTATTAAATATTGCTCTATACTTTTCTTGTTCTTTCTTGGTCTAATATATATCTCTCCCTGAAATTTCTTCCTTTTCTTTAACTATTCCTCAATTAATTCTCTCTAGACTCTAACATCTTTCGTTCATAACACCTATATTTTTTCTCTTTTTAGAACTTTTCCCTCCCTAATATTTCTCTCCCTAATTTATTTTCTTCTAAATCAATTATGTGTCTAATATTTTTAACTACAACTATAATGATAAATTTTGAAAACTAGACTTATAAAACATAAATGTGATATTTAATTTTGTAGTTAAAAAAATAAAATCATGATTTGATAATTATAGTGCAGTTCATAAAAACCCATAATAACATAGGTATTTGCTTATCTGAAAAGAAAAAAGATTGCTATAAAATATGTTTTGCTTTTCTACTTTAAAAAATGCAGAAAATTAAAATTAGCTATTTTGATTTTTGTTTTTGAAAAACAATGTATAAAAACCAAAAATAGTAAAGTCAAAAAATAAAAACCAAGTATTAAAAACAGAAATGAAAAAAAAAATAGCAAAATCAAGACGAAGGTATTTAACTGACTGTTTGTAATTTGATGGTCAAACACAGTCGCCTGTCTATGGGCGTGCTCTACAAGATAATCTCGCCCACTTTGTACTATATAATTTATTTAATCTGACAAAAAACCAGTCAATCAAATATTAATAAATCATAAAATGTATTTTTAATTTTTAAGTCTAAGAATTGAACGATGGATATTGAACCATCTATTGGATTATCTGCAAACATAGAATAACAATATTAGATTATAAAGGTATATGCAAATGTGGATTATGGCTCCGCGACGACTTGGAATTATTCAATTAATTTAATTTTAACAAGTCTTGAATGGCGACTCCCCTCGATGTAATGGTTGTGGTTGCAGGCTATATCCAAATCTAAAGTCGTTGCAAAAAGTTGCTTTGACAATAAATAGTATTTCAATAAAATCTATATATTATCTTTAAAAAATTATTTTTTGAGCTTTTTTTATAAAAACAAATATAGAATAATATATATCACATGGGGCAAAAATACTCCATAATAACCCACCAATCTAAATATCATTATAGTTATTTCTTAATAGTCTATACTTATCTTCTATTTTAATTTTAAAACTTTTCGTGTAAGCTAATTAGTTATGATATTAATTTTTTATTAATGTATGAAAAAACATTCAAATTCATTTTTAAACATAAGATGCACAAAGCTCAAACGCTTATTTAAATTTTAATTGAAAAGACACATTTAGAAAGACAGAAATGATGGGACTTCAACAGGGATGCATGTCGAGTGACGGATATCAAGAAAAAGAACATTTAAAAAGACATCTAAGTGTCATAGACAAATAAACAAACATAAAACAATATGATCAAAAAAATTGAGGTGTTTATGATAAATAGGTATTTTTCTATTTAACATCATTAAAAAATTGACGTCATTTCCTAATTTATACACTTACATGAAATCAACTAAAAGCCAGTTGTGTTTCTCAAAATAATAATAATAATAATAAATAAAATAAAAACCAGTTGTCTTTTTTTATTTTTTTTAAATAATGATATAGTTAGATTATAATTATTCTTTAAAAAAGTATTAATTATAATTTCCTATTTTTTCTAGCAGTCTGTAATTGAAATAGACACGATTGCACGTAAGCACTCCCCTAATTCCGAGTCGTTGATCTGTAATTACAAGTCAACGGTCAACCTCGCGGGTGGAAAGTTTCCTTTACCGTTTGCCCTTCTTCCATGGCAGATAAATGATATCTTCTTTCCCTCTACTTGTTTCATTATCTTACAACTAACTAACTAAGCGAGAGTTCATACCCTCCTTCCCGCCTCTTAAGCTCTCGCCGTTCAGTCCGAGAGATGGAATCAGGACCAGACTCCATTTCCGAAGACTTCCCCATTCTCTATTACGTTCTATCGCAACTCGATACTATTTCTGGTAAATCCCACCCACAACTTCCTCCCGAAACTCAAGAATCGGTGCTGACCCAATTACCTCGTCTCAACAACCCTAAAGTCTTGGCCACGGTGATTCAAGCCATACCCGGTAACGTTGCGCAAATTCGGTCCGCCCTCGTTTGTCTCGGTCCACGCCCCGATCCCTCCGCTGTCGCCGCCGCTCGCGAGCGGATCGCTGACATCCAATCCGGACTCCAGAAGGATCTTCAAGAAATCGGTTGCGTCGATGATCGCGTCGAGAGAGAGAACAAGCTGAGAAAAGAGGCAGAGAAGGAGACGCAAATCTATACGGCGGTGGCGAGGCTAGAGGAGATGCACCGGACCTATGAGAAGCAGCTAAGCGACGCGCAGGATCGTCTGGTGAAATTTTATGAATCGACTGCTTCAGAGTTGGATGATGAGACCGACTTGGAGGTGAACGAAGAAGTTAGAAGAATTTTGAAAGAGGCACAGAGTGGTGAGGTGGTGGAGAAGGTCGACCTTTTTGGGCAAGAGCTCAGGTTTCTTCCCGAGAAGTTCGGGAAACTACGCCGATTGACCCATCTTAATCTATCGCAAAATCAACTCGAGGTAATTTTCATTTCTAGCTCCTGTGCCATGGATTCTCGAAATATTCTTAGTTAATATTCCTATGGAATTGACAGTTTTCTCTGTGTGTGTTGGCAGTTTCTTCCCGATTCCATAGCTGGGCTTCAGAAACTCGAGCGCCTTGATGTTTCCTCAAACCTTCTAGAGTCTCTTCCTGATTCTGTCGGCCTATTGCTTCATTTGAAGGTCGTCAATATATCGGGGAACAAGCTGAATATGCTTCCTGAAACCCTTACAGCTTGCAGGTAACTAAATCACTTGTCTTTGGCTTCTGTTGTCAACAGCATCGGGAAAGTGATGTCGGTTGTGCTGTGAGTTTTAATCATTTGGTGTTTTTTCTACTGTAGTTCCTTGGTGGAGTTGGATGCAAGTTTCAACAATCTCTTAGGTTTGCCGATAAATTTAGGATATGGATTGGTTAATCTTGAAAGGCTGACAATCCAGCTTAACAAGATATGTTACCTTCCTACATCGATATGTCAGCTTAGGTCTCTTAAATATTTTGATGCACACTTCAATCAAATCCATTCCCTGCCTTCTGAAATTGGAAGATTAACGAGTCTAGAGGTGTTAATTCTAAATGGTAATTTCAACAACTTGACTGAGGTTCCTGAATCAATCAGTGATCTCTGCAACCTAAGGGAGCTAGATCTTAGTGACAACCAGATCAGAGCTCTTCCAGACAGATTCGGCCGGCTGGAAAAACTAAGCAAGCTGAATTTGGATCAGAATCCACTCGAGGTACCTCCAATGGTGGTTGTTAACAAAGGACCCAAAGCGGTGAAGGATTTCATGGACATGAGGTGGGCTAATTTAGTTGCAGAGAAACAAAAGGCTATGCATGAGGCAAACATGCCACAAGATCAGATTGGATGGCTTGCTTGGGGATCTAACATGTTGAATAACATGACTTCTGGGGTTTCGCAAACTATTTCTGAATACTCAGGAGGAAGAAGAGAAACTAAAGAAGACCCATGGTTGTATCAGCAATTGTGAGTGGGGAACGCATGGTCGTCTCCTGAACCTGGCTTTCCAAGAAATTGTCTGTATATAAAATACATATACATGTCTTGATGCAAATGCTACTGGGCTGCATTACTGGATGGTATCAACTTTGGCTTCTATTTCTTAAAACTCAGACTGGAATCATCAAAATATACTTTCAAAGCAGAGACGTCTTATGGAAGCAAATGAACCAATTTTAAAAGGGTACATTCGACTAAACTTTCAGTTTTTCAAAAAGTAAACTTGTTCATTGTGAAGATTGTTTATGTTTTATTTCTCACTTCTCACAAGCAGTTTGAAATTAACTAACTAATTAGTAGTTAACAGACTAATAAAAAAAATCTCAATAAAAATAGTAACCAATATTAGCGGTACTTGTAATTAACCATAACAAATAGACGTTAGATTAAAATATGATTTTGGTGCTTGTAACTCTAACTGTATCTAAAATATGATTTAAGGTTGAGAAACAGAAGTAAACTGAAAGTAAATATAACTAAACAGATCAAAATATTAGTTCGTGAACAGCGTACCTTTGTCCCTGAGGAAGGACCCCAGCATTCCACCATGGATTAAACCTTCGAGATAAGAGGGGATTTTCTCTCTTGTGACCGCACTGACGGACAATAAAGGATTGATTAAAATATGCATCTGCTATTTTGGTGCTTGTAATTCTAATCTCATCCTTGAAAATTTTGAAATATATATTTTATATCCATCAATAAATATTTAATTTAAGTTTTATTATTTCTCCAAAAAAAAAGAAGAATTTAAGTTTTATTAAAAGTTGAAGTACTTAATTTAAACAGCAGAGGTCAAACCTCTTTAAGATTCAAGGACTATAATTTTAGCCTAAGTTGAATTTAAAGTTTAAAATAAGAAACATACAGAATACCTCGAAGTAACAGATCAAGGTGTACATCAGCACTAAATTACACCGGCAGGGGAGTAGGATGAGGAAGTGTGTGATGAAGACACAATACCAGACCATAGAGAAAAAATGAAGCATGAAACTACTAATATGGGTTGTAGCTTTTGAATCAGCCACTCAAGAAACTGAGGAATCCAAGGAATTACTAATGGTAGATCTAATAGACAAACACTTCCTACATGAGAGGATGCCACACGTCAAACAACTCAGCAAAAACATTTTCATCAATTATAAGAAATAGAAAGAAATTGCAATTTGTTTGGACAAATCAAAGGAGATTGCAAGCCGTAAGTTCTTTTCAAATTAAAATTTCTTGCAAATCAAAAAGCATGCCGAAGCTCGAATTTCAGAGCAAATCACTAGTCGCAAGAATTGCAAGCTAATGCTCGGTAAAGGAAATTAGAAATTGCAGATGGAAAACCAAAGAGCAAAGTCGCACGAATTGCTCAATCACATACATGCAACGATTATCGACATCGTGCAAATTCAATTTTCTTGCAAAACACAGATTAAAATGCATGCCAATGCTCAAATATCAGATCAAATCACGAGTTGCATCAGATCGTAAACAATTGCAAGCTAATGCTCGTTGCTCGATGAAGGAAACAATAAATCGCAACTGCCAGACCTCGGAGAAAAATCGCAGTAATTGCTCAGTCACATAAATGCAATAGAGATCAAAATCATGCAAATAGCGAACAATGATGCAAGATCGCGCATTTCCTATTTTCAGTGTAAACTCTCAAACTTACGAAAACAGCAATCGGAAATTGAAAACACAAAAGCAAACCAGTACGAGTACTAAATCCCCGAAAATTACTAATCCAATCAACAATCGGCTGAAAAACACAAGCACACCATACACAGAACGAGAGAAATTGCCAAGAGAAAACAAAGTAACGCAACAACAATCCGAAATACCTGTCTAATCATAGAAAAGAAACCAAAACGCCCAAGTGAATGAAGCAAGAGTCGCGCGCGGGAAAGTTATTTGCATCGCTTAAACTCTCCAAAAGCTGCCCTTATGTACAATAACAGAATGACTAAACAGCCCTCCATGGACCTCTCTTCTCCCTCCCTCCCTCTCCTGAATCCAAACAGCCCACGCAGGATCTTAAAATGGGCTCGTCAACTAGCCCAATATATCTTTAATAAGGTTCTAGATATGACCCAAGTTAGTGGGCCCAGATAAACACCTGTACTCAAAAAGGCCCACGTTTCCACCGGGAACCAAAAAAGAAAAAAGAAAAAAAAAATCAGAAGAAGAAAGGAGAGAGAGAGAGAATAATCGCTCTCTTTGATCCTTTTCTCGAGAAATAAAAAGAGAAAATCATCTAACAAATAGTCAAACTTCAAATCAGGACAGTGACCATTGGAGCCGTCAGATTACATTGTTGTAGGACCCAACATCAAATCACAACCATGGAAAAGAGGGCAATCTGAAGACTTTGTCTCCGATGATTCACGGTCAGGGCAGATTTCCTTCACTTTTATAAGCCACGCGTCAACTGGCAGATGGCTATTATCTGCACCTTGGAAAGCATTTCCATTTTCCAAGGAGGCGTCTCATCATTCCTTGAAACGATCAGAACCGTCTACTTGTGGACAAGCATATCCTCTGATATGGCGGCGTATCTAGCCAATCTTTCCCCATCCTTTTTCAACCTCTTCTTTTTTTTTTTTTTTCCTTTTCTTCTTCTTTTCCCCTCGAAATTACGAGCCACTCAAAAGGTCAATCAGTTTTGGTGGWGGGTTTCCTTGAATCGCCGGCCGACACCTCTCCACGAAATCAATCGCTAATCTTCTATACTTGAGTAGGTCTCCTCTCCTCACCTGGCAATTTGACGGATTTATTTATCTTTCGTTTCATTAAATATATTACTTTTTATCCTTTACTGTTATTTTTTTTAACTTGTTTATCACCCCTAAAAATAATAACTTTTCAAATCTAAATAATATTTGTCTTTTTTTATTTTTTCTCTCATATTTGTCAGAATTTTGACAATACTTAACAAAAGAAGTGTGTTAACTAATTATTGTTGTTTTTTTAAATGTATGAAGTAAGGTGAAGAGTTTTCAACCTTAGATAATAAGTTTACTCCCGAAAAAAAAACCCCACGGATAATAAGTTTGATCTTGTAATTGTTTTTTAGTAGAAGTAAATAAAGACAACAGAAAATTCGAAATTGGTCAAAGAAAAACCATTTCCAAGCACATTCTATTTAATAAAAAACTTACCATGCTCTTCTTCAAAATATAAATTCCAAGCACATTTTATTTAATAAAAAACTGATCCTTTCAGAATAATAAAATAAAATGATTACTTGTACCTCTCATTTTTTATCACTACTTTTTTTTTATCTATTTAATTAATTGAAGAGTGATGATTCAACCATCAATTTTTAAGATGGGAGTGAATACCTTAAAATTAGAAGTTAACTAAGTAATTAGGAGCTCGCAATTGTGAAGTTTCTTATTATTTATTTCTTTCTACATTTTTTTTCTTATATTTCTAAATGTTTAGATCAGCTCTTCAATTAATCTCCTAGATAACCACCTTACCCTTACTTCATGGAGTTCGACCCCTAGTTTCTTATTAAATAAAAAACAAACATTATATTTCTAAACTACATACATCATATCTAAATTGTTAAATAAGGGATCGACAAAAAAAAGACTTTTTAATAAGTTCATAAATAAAAATGGAACTATATATATATATATATTCTTGCAAAACGTAAAAACCACAATAAAAAATTTTTATATAATTTGTAAGTATAAAAAAATCAACATAAATAATTTTTTGGTTAAATATACGAAATAGTAGCATCTCTTATATTTTTGGTAAAGAAAGATATTCTTTTCGAGTACATAAAAAATCTATAAAATTTTCAATTATACTCTTTATATATTGAAAATTTTCAATTAGGTCCTAAAAATATTTTGATTAACAAAAAACTTACGTCTCATTAAATTGTTATATTAGTTTTTTTATTTAAAAATGGATTTTGTCGGTGAGTAGGTAAAATTAAAAAAAAAAACATTGAATTTCAAATATTGTGCAAGTGGCATGTAACTATTTTTAAATATGCTAAACCTGGATTGAAAATTGCTTAAACGATGATACGCTGCTTAGTATAATTTGTCTAGTTTTTGTTTTGATTTTTATGGTGCACCATGTTTTTGGTATCCCAATAAATTTTAGGCAGACCATAAAAGAAATAAAAAGGCAAGTTTTTTTCAGGAATTTAAGACAAAAGCTTCTGATAAACTTGGATTTTCGAACACGCTAGCAAAAAAAAAAAAAACACTATCGAAAGCTACAAGGTTACATTACAACTTCCAGAAGTAGTAATTGCTCTTGTTTGTAAAAGAAATAAGCACAAGCACTGCTACTTCCATGGAAGCTCGCACAAGCCCTAGATACCTCTCTCACCTCCCCTCCTACAGCATTAATATTCCATGCCCTAGCTTAGGTAGCTCTATTTGTTTTATTTTATTTAAATATGGTTTCAGACGAGAAGAAGAAGCTGCAGGTTGGTTTTTGCACGCTTGGCCTCTATCTTCCACGACATGATACTGTCCCGACCAGCTCTTTTCTTTTCTGAGCCCATTAACATTAATAACGCCCAATTATTCAAAACCAAACACACAGGTCTAATATTGCACAAAGTTTTTTTTAGCTCTCACGAGGATTATTAATTAAATAAATATTATTTGGCAGGTAGCCGAAAGAAATAATGTTAAAAATAAAAACCAACAGGGAATGAGTGGCCTATGGCCCGATGGGGTGCAGGCTATTGCTAATTAAGCTGTAATTAATGGCTTCCGAAAATTATTATATGTGTTTTAAAAGCAGAATGGGATGCACGGTTGGCGTCGCAGGCAGTGATATGAATCACAGGCTCCCAAATGCACCTCCCGGAAAACGACGACACGTCGTCACTCGAGACTCGAGAGTCTAATTCCGACATCGGATTAAATTAAAGTGCCAGACGGAGGAACTCTCCCCCTGGTTGCAAAACACGGTAATGAACCCGATCAGTTGAGCAACGTGTATGACGATGAACAATGAAAATAATGCATTTGGACTCAACATACTAAAAAAAAATAACATAAACAAAAAGCCTTGTTGGTAATATTATTGTTTTTTTTCGTTCCCATTTTTCATTTTTT